GCGAACGTGAACAAACATTTAATGCGTCATAAGATAATTGTGGCGCTGGACGACCGAGGCAAGATATCTTGCCATAAAATTACACTTTGTTTCATTTATCTGGATCCTGCGCAATGCATTGCGCATCTTCAAAGTTCGGTAGAGGTACAGGAACGCGACGAGCAAGGCTGGGAACAACGCATGGATATTTCCTCCAATGATATTGTTATTCAAGGTGCCCGCACAACAAGGTTGTCACGCAAACAGGTATTTATTATTTCTGTTTTTCAATAATATTTGTTCATTGCCTGTGAATAGTTGGTTGTCTATGTAAATTGAATGTCTGAAAATGCTTACTAATATGTTAGGGTCGCTTTTTGGGCTTTCTACTGGCGACAAATGCACGTTATGACATTCACTGTGACCTTTCAGAATGAATCCAGTGCCGAAAACTTATTCGCACGTTATTTACAAAGATGGGGCAAAGATTTTCTTCGTCGGCGCTTGGATTGGACGCTAGATGAAAGTATAGGCAACCCGTCGAATCCTAGACACATCTCCAGTGCTTTGTGTCCTTGTCAATACGTACAGGATATTCTAGCAAACAAACCAGCGAAAGTCGATCGACGCGATTGCTGTCCGATCGCATCTTCCATTCTGCGACGATTAGGCATCGATTAGCGAGCAAACATAACATTTAGTAAAACCTATTAGTAAGCATTTTAATCTAGGCAACCAACATTTCATTTGAGTTTATAAATAATTTATAAGTTTATGGATTTTTTTTTGTTTATAGGAACGAACAACCTTGTTATATCTAAGATACGCAGCCCGTTGGGGTAAAGATAGGGTACGAGGATACTTAGCAAGCCCGCCGGCAAAAGGCGGCCGACATTGTGCCCATTTGACGTGTCCATGTCAGTATATCGAGGATCATCTGCAGTGCAAACCGGCAGGCAAGTTGACGCTGAAAAGTTTTTGCTGTCTGCCCGACCAAATCGAGTCCGGGCCAGGCGCGAATCCTTCCACGGCGCAAACCTGCACAATTGTTTAAACAATAACACATACGAACAACATACAAGACAACACCACAATGCTTTATAACTGACATTTTGATTTCGCTATCAAATAACTTTTGCTTTTGCTTATAACTCATTTTAACTCACATTTTTACTAATATTTTCTCTTTTTAATGAAACAGACGGTAATTAATTTTTGGATGATGGAAACTCAATCTAC